AGAGTGGGTCGAGAGGTCACCACAATGGGCCCAATCATCTCTGAGGAGACATGGACGCCCGAGTCTGTGTTTGTGAGTGTGAGTGTGTGTGTTTGTATAATCTGTAGCTCAATCTCAGCTACTATATTAGGAATCTATTCACTCTACACACTCTCCAGTGCTGTCTGTCTGTCTGTCTGTCTGTCTGTCTGTACTGTACTGTACTGTACTGTACTAGTAGTACCCACCCACACATATTTACATACAAACACACATACGTGTATGTATTTAGGACAGAACTGCATTAGAAACCTGGCCTCAATAAGCAGGTGTGGAGACACACAGGTGTGTATTCACTCTTTTTTGGGCCGTGTGTGAGCTGGGGGCTGAACTGCTCACTAAGACAAATGGAACAGGAGTTTCCAGATTAAATAACACAAGGAGGACAAATGCTGAGATATCACCATCACACTGCAGTGAAGTGGCAGCACTACCAGAATACAACGGGCGTCCACAGTTTCTGACGTCCTCATCCTTAGGTTGCCACACCCCGTGTATACATTTATTAAGAAAGTCTTGTTCCCTCCCGACGAGGAAGACAGCTTTGTTTACATCCGCCATGTTTTTTCGTCTGAGTCTTCCTGATGTCACTGCTGTCAGACCAAACTGCAGAGGACAATAGAAAATTGAACTTTTTGACCTTGTGTCACCTGTCCTGTTTCTGTCCATCTCACCACTGTCTTATCAGCCTCAGTTCAGGCCACAGGCCATTTGGCCATTGGCCAAAAAGCTCTTCACATCCCAGTCTATACTACCTGCTGCAGGCAGCTGCTAACATTTAGCTGCTGAACAGAGAGCATTTAGGAGCTAAACAACTGGATAGTTCCATCTGGAGAACAGGAAAACTAAAACCACATGCAGGAGCAGAATCAAAGTGAATCCTTGAAATGAAGGCTACTGTGGCTTCGCATAGGAGTCTGTGTGATTGGTTGCCAACAAGTGTGCTGTCAGCTGTATATGGTGTGGATTTGGTCTTACAATTCCAAGTACAAAAAAAAGAAACATTGTACTTGTACACATTGTACTTAACACCACCGAAGACACTTGCAAAGCCCTATAAGATTTGTGTTTGGTAAACTGTAAAATTAGCATTTTACAGTTCGGGGCAGTGCTAAATATTGTAGTTCAGCTAAGGATGTGGTGAAGAGTTACAGGAAAGGTCCTGCGGTTTTGCATTAAGCTCTTTGTGGACCGCGAGTTGAACACGTGAAAGGAGGCTGTGACACTGCTCTCGCAGCAGTACCTTATCAATATTCACTATTATGGCCGGTGGCTTAAACAACAATGATAAATGGACCTTTGACTCATTGTACAATACTGAATGTGTGTGTGTGTGTGAGAGAGAGAGACCTCATTGCCTCACCAACTCCAAAGGCCATTCTGGATGTGTTCAATCAGACTGGAGTCTCCTCCGTGTGCAACATGATGTCGGTGTACATGTGGAACACGTAAACAAAGACTGTCCTGTCTATGCCCTAGGAGGTAACAATGACTTATAGTAGGGCATTTACTTAGGAATTTTATAGCTTTATTTATGGTTTACGTTTAGTTTTAGAAATGCCACGTTGTTGTTGTTGTTGTTGTGGTCTTACCCTCCGTGGAGGATCCAGACAGATCGATGACTACATACACCTTGCCCTCGGGTTCCAGATCAATCTGTGCAGAAGAGAGAGGGGGAAAACATAGTAAATCAGCTGATGAGTGACTGCAATGATCAGGCATCAATTCATCACCACTACATCAAGGACCACTACATTTTGTCACTAACGAAAAAATAAACAAGAGTCAAATGTTACAATTTCGCATTTATTTTTTCCCCCACACAAAACACAATTCACAAAACACAACTTTAATTATTGCAGTAAAGGCTGAAAGTCAAAATAAAACTGCAACCTATTTTTAACCTATTTTTAAAATGCTAAAGTACTTTTTCCGACTTTCCTGCTCAGACCCCCAACCAAAGACTCTGGTTTTAAATTATTATATGTATTATATATGTTATTATTGTATTTGTTTTAATTAATTTCATATTCAGGAGGGACTCCCCAAAAGATTATTAAGTTCAAACTCTTTATCTATAATCTGTGTAATCATCACAATCACTTGGGTCCATTAGAAAAGGCCAGTGAGTCTGTAAACCTGTGAAATTTACTACTGTACTGTACTGTACTGTACTGTACTGTACTGTACTGTAGGTGCATATTTGACCTTGTTATTTTCTAATTTTGTGAGAACAAATATCTATAATAATGTAAGCTTCTAAAAACCATTGTTTAACGACTGTACTTGAAACAAAATAAAGAGTTCATTATTATAAACCAAAGCTGTAAACACGTTAACAACGTGCTAATTATAGTGTTTTTTATTCATTAATTTATTTATATGTGACGTTTCTAATAAGGAACATTACAGATAACCTCTTTATCTTTATTTACAATTCCATCTGGCTAACAGATTACAGCTTCCTCTCACACAGCCTCACTGAGCATCCATTCAGTCCACTGCAGGAGCAGGTGTCTCCAAAATGGAGGCGCTCTCATTCTGCGAATTTCATCATCACAGAATAAAAAGAAATGCTCCTGTTTAAACATCATCAGATAAGCAAAGATGTGACGTCCAAACACACACACAGGTTTGGTGGTTGGTGGTGACATCAATTACAGAGATTAAAGAAAGTGCAGCAGAGATAGAGAGAGGCAGAGATGGCCGAGGCAGGAAGAGCAACAGAGTGAGAGGTTTAAATCCTCTGATAAGCTCTGGGACCTCAGCAGATCCTCTTATGCAACAGTCAAACTGACACAAGCAGCAACACACACAGTCTCTCTCACATCCACACATATGCTTCCAAAGGGCGCAAACATCTCCTGTCCACAACGGAGATTTGCCCCCGAAGAAATACTGCAGCGACCCATAAGAGATGAGTGGTATAACAATTCACAGTCACTTCTCATATTTTTCATCACACTGAACATTATATTATATATATAAGAGGTTATAAGTTTATTTTAATTTTGATCTTAAATTAGAAAAAAAATAAACTGATCTATTTATTCATCAACAGAAATGCTGTGAAAATATCGTCAATATTTTTTAGAAATAAGTTAATAACACTGACTTGTAAATGATGCTTGGTTTTGTGATCTCATGTGTTCTAATATTATTATAAATTATTTTACATGTTATATTATATCACACAATCTTATATTTTAGATACAAACTGTGGAGAGGTCAAACAGAGATTTATTTTCCTTTTCTTTTCAAGGATTATTAATCCATTCCAGATTTAATCATCTCTGTACCAAGTAAACAGATGTGTCGAACACTCACACAGACTCCGACATGATTATATAAGTACAGACCACTGGTTGTTAACATTTCATGGGGTTAATCTGTGAACCAACCAAAAAGACAAAGACCAGATTAACCAGATCCAACTCTTAAAGTCACCCGAGTCCAAAAAGAATAAAAGTTAATATAACCACATGCGGCTCCATCCATTACACAAGTGTATGACCTTTAAGATTCGTCATCATGTGCACCACTGCAAATGTCGTTCTAATCCCCAAATGTAACCTCTTGCATAATGTCGCATCTCAGTGAGGATTTCAGCTGAACAATAAATTCTGAGAGACTGGAACATAGTAAAAAAAAAAAACTGGATGGGATTGTTGCTGGTTTAAGGCTCTGCTTCTGAGGTAACAGTAAAATGTCAAACAAACAAACCAGCTGAGTTCTTACATCACCAGGTACGGCTCCATGGATCTATGAGGTGCCCTAAAGCACATTCAGTTGTCATGCACTGTTCAGTGTGAACGAATGGACCGTGTTATTTAACTGTGTGGCCACTGGTCGCAATACACTTCATCACACTTTATATATTTTCCTCTAAACACGATTTTCATTCTTTTCGATCTAAAATTCAATTTCGTTTTCAACTCATGTGAGATGCAGACGTATTTCCCATGGAATTCCCACTAAATTAATAGTACCAGTGAAGTTCCTCCTCACACACTGATATACTACAACCTACCAAAACTCAGTGACAATGGCATGAAAACTGAGCTGCTAAATATGCTCATGCCCAGGCCGACCCATTCAAACCTATGAATTATTCATTATTGTTGTGTTTTTTTTTCTTTGTCAACAAAGTAAATGATTAATCAAGCCAAGCGTTTTGGTTTCAGAGCTAATAAAGTTACCTACGCCGTGCTTGAATGACTTGTAACGTGACTCTGCCTCACACACAGAGCCGCACTTTGTTTTCCCAAATCCTGATGCGGGAGAAAATGGAAAAGGAGAGAGAGGAGAGAGGACTGGAGGATGAAGTTCCCCTCATTAATCTCGTTAGTCCAATTAGGACAGAGACGGAGCCGGGGAGACGCTTAAACACCTTCACACACTGTCTCTGTGGTGCTGCGTGTGTTTGTCAGAATATCTGACTTCAGAGGAAAGTTACCATTTAACACGCACACAAGTTTAACACTGTTACATTTGCTCCATTACCACACACACAGACACACACCATATGCAGCGGCGCAGAGCACTCAACCCAGCAGACAGGGCACTCGAAGCTTGCATTACATCAATACTGTGGAGCTAACCCCCTCCCACTCTCTGTCCATTTCACTCGCTATCTGTGTCCAAGCAGACAGCTCTGTGTTTCTCTCTCAGGAGCATTTAGTCTCAGTGACAGCCTCCCACATCCATCTGTCAAAAAACACATTTTGGCTTTAGCCAGAAAAAGTGTGTTTGAGGGAGAGAGGGAGAGAGAGAGAGAGAGAGGGCTTGAAGTGTTCACACAATAATGGGCATGTGTGTGACGCTTTTTTGTGTGTGTGTTCTTTCTATCACTCAGCGGAAACTCTGCAGCATGTCCACACACACACACACACACACACACACACAAAGAAAAGGGAGGTCCATGCTGAGTGAGACGGTGTGAGAGTCATGCATCTTTAATGTAACATCACAGACGGCTAATAATGTAAGGGAAGCTGAGCTGTGTGTCAGGGGTGAGGCTGGGAGGTGGAGGTGAAGGTGGGGGAGGGGGGGAGAGATCCCTGCCAAAGGAGACAGGTCTGACTGTCCTGAAGCACCAACACAGGGGGGAGAGTTGGATTTGAAAGACTGAAAAGTGACATCAGAAGGACAGATGGGTGTCTCTTCCGTAGATGATACTTAGCTCTAATGTAAATCGATACACACATGAAAGACAAAGTATTTGTAAATACACAACATAATAATAGTTTTGGAAACCATCAGAACACCTCAGTTTTTTTTCCTGGAGTACGGCAGAGAGTTCCATTCATAGAGGCAGAAACCAGAACAGTGAGGTACACTGTACTTCCACAGCTTCTCTTTGGCATCTTGATGGATACAAGTACACATGGTTTCACCTTTCAATCTGAACACGTACGTCAGCGCGATAGTGCATATTTTAGCCGGTCAGGAGAATTGTGTCTTTCATTGCAGACGTGCACAAATGAAGCACAGAGAGAGGGGAAAACCAGTGTGCATTTACCTGGAGTTCTCAGATATCCTCCCATTTCTTTTCTTTCACTGAGAACATGAATTAAATACCCTCGTCCCACCCCCCCACACACACACACACACACACACCAAAGGTTGACCTGATTTAGAATCATGGGGCAGTGCGTGTGTGTGTGTCTGTTGTCTCTGTGGCAACACGGCACACACATCTTAAATCCAGACTGTCCTACTTAACCAGTAATGTCACCAAGGGGCGGGGCCTATGATGTCATCGTCCAGCTCCAACAACCGTACTTCTCTGACCTCCGTGCTCTGCTGTCTTAATAAGAGACAAAGTGCGTTGGGGGATTTGACCATGCTACTGTCCACAGTACTGCTGCTCCACACCAGTACAACAGTGTAATGAAGGTAATGAAGCAGTACTGAGGGACTACAGGAGCACCAGCCTTATTGATGTGGAGCTGCTACATAATTCATCAGTTAATTAGGAGGGAAACGTGTTTCAGTTTCATTCAGACTGATGGAACTGTATCAACCACTTGTTCTGTTTGTAAACTCCAGTACTTTGACGCTACAGCAGTTTAGCTTCCACATCCGACTGGACTGGACGAGACAGTCTGACACTGGTTAGAGCTCGAATGGAGGCATCTGACTTCAATCTTGATGCATGAATTAGTCAATGTGTTACCTAACCGGATGGTGTTAGGGTTAGGTAAGAATAAAGAATGTCTGTTTTACTGTTTTCAGTATGTGGTGAACAAGCTAACAGTTGCTCAGTCACCCGACCTGTGACCTTAGCACTACTGGACAATCACAGAGGGAAAAATATTCAAATAGACACCAAACTTAAATTTAAACTTGAAGTTATAAATCTTGTTTAAATTATCATTTTATTCCAAAGATAAACTATGCCAATGGCCCAATACAAGGCTTAAAACAGCATTGTTCAAATGCTAACATCACCACTGCTCTTTCTGTTTCATGTTTTAACCATTTAAGAATGTTGAAATTGTTAAGTGGCCAATAACTGGAGTCCTCTGGTCATTAATCCTGGCCGCTGATAAGTGAAAGCATGTGAGTGTGTGTGAGTGCATGTGTGTCCACGTGCACGTGTGGATGCCAAGAGTCAAAGCAGGGCTGGTTGACATCTGACGTGGACCGTGTCTCTGTGTGGTTCTCACTCCTCAAAGTCAAGAGTCATGGAAGCTTCCACAGTGTTCCGTGTACATGTCCACAGAGCTGCAGCTTCACCTCCACTGATTCGGTCCTCACTGTTTCCTCCTCTTCCTGCTCATCATTCAGTCACTTTTTATCATTTTCTCTCTGCCTATTCTATTCTCTGTGTTCATGCAGACATTTCCAGATTAGGATTTTTAAGAATAATCTGGAAATTAAATTAGAATTGAGAACAGTCTCTGCATTAATGCAAACCCACTGTTGTCATTTACATTATTTTTCAAATATTTTTTTTAAATGATACAATTCTATAGTGCTGTCCTCTCATTGTTTTGTGTTGGCAGGGGTTAGGGTTAGAGTCTGGCAGGGTTATACATACTAATAATACCCTAAGATGAAGAGGACTACGGATTCTATTAATATTTGTTTATATTTATTTTACTATATCTATATTTTGACAATGAATCCAATCACCTGAAGACAGAGTCTGGGACACAGAAAACTGCTTACTTGAAGAAAAACACAGAGGAAGATGCACATGACCTCATATCTTGTGTAATTGACAGTTGAATTTTAGTTTCCTGAAACTTTTTCGCAGGCTTTTCTGAATGACCAGTTTGTGTAGTGTTGCTTCCTCTTGCTAGCGCCACACACTAATATTACTAATTTAAAAAGTGTAAGGTTGTGGTCTGTCTTTTGGTATTTTACCTGCTGGCAAGTAAATCTTAAAATAAAAAATACCAGGACAAATGCAACTTTACCAGGACTTTACTGTGTAATTACAATTTAGATTATTTTTTTCCCAGTCAGTCAGAAGTCACTGCCCACCCAGAATCTCAGCCCTGTTCTTTGTCCCTAAACATGTTTGTCTGAACTGCACCCCTTGACATACGGTTCTCTGGTAAATAGTGCTAATTCTGTTAAAGGCCATAAAAAAAACAAAAAATACCAGAAGAAAAAAACAAAAACAACACCAAGGCTCTGCTCCAAGGCTCAACAGTAATTCATTGTTTTTCTCATCGTGTTAAAGATGGAAGTGGTATTTTGTTTGTTTATGTATTGGTATTGTCATTTTATAATAATTTCATGCTGGTAAAGGCCGGCCCTTATTATCAATAACCTTCATGACTGCAGTAATATATATATGACACGTTCATCCAAACACCTCATTAAAATGTGTTAGTAAGGAGTTTTGACCCTGCTCTTCCACTGACATCACCCTCTGCATCGCTCTGCCACTAAACATACCATCGTTTCAACAGGAATGTACAGACACAGCTTTGTTTACAGTGGCACCGAGCTCACCTCTATACAAACGCCATGGACGCTGGCAATTTTATTTATAAAACACATCTTGGGGCCACTAAACCTAATGTGTCTTACATTAACAGCAGTTAACATGAATGTGACAGCACGAGGCAGAGTAACAGGAAAGTTTACTTAGAGAATAGTCCTATAATCAGGTGTAAAACTGACTTCTGTTGATGTGGATGTTCAGAGAAGAAGCTGTGACCAACCATGACAGGATGTAATGGTCATTTGGTGTCTGTCACGGTCTTGACCTAGAGGTTTTGGTTAAAAAAACAACAACAACAACAACAACAACTTATTTGAACCTGACTGTAGTCTGACTTGGTCGACTCTGGCAAACACGCTGAGATGTTGAGTCTAGCTGACACCCTCCTATACTCCAGCTCTGTAATTATGCTGTGAGTAAAATGGAATTTCCCCTAAGAGACGCTCATGCAATTAAAACGCTTGGGTTTGAATAATTCTGACTTCTCAAAGCACCACCTTGTTGTATTTCCCTCCCCTCCTAACAGCATTACACTCATCTTTCTCTGAAACTCTCAGCAACACTTCCCTCTTCCTGGTGTTTCTGTGGGTGAGAGGCTGTCACCAAGGGGACAGGCTGTCATTGTCACCATGGGGATGGGCTCTACAGTGCATCTCAATTACTGAGCAGGACAATTAATAAGCATCAAGGTCTGGTTAATATTTCACCAGTGGTGCAGAGCAGCAGCCTGGCCACAAGTGCCTGGGTCCACCAGAGATGACCATCAGGAAGTGGAGACCGACAAAACGTGAGAAAACAGAGACAATGGGAAGATAGGGGGACAGTGTGGGGGGGTGGGGGGGACGACAACGGAGACTGGGAAAGAAGAGATGAACAAGGCAGCAGATGGACGGAGGAAGTGAGAAACACTTCCCAAACAAGGGACACAGGGCTCTGTGTTCATCTGAGCAGCAGGAAGCTCACACTGTAGTTGGACACTGCTCTGGCTCTCAACGTGGCCATGTTCATGTTATGATATCATTCATACCATTCAATATTTTACTCTCTAATATACGTCTTTCAACTGGTTTTTGTCACTTTATAGAATAACAGATTCACAGGTTCTGAACCCAACAAAGAAAGAAACAGAAAATAATCATAAACAACATCTAATGGTAGAAAATGGGCTAGTCCTTAAATGACTTAAATATTAAAAATCCAAAGTCAGGATTTGAATTAAATCAATAGTTGCACTTATTTGACAAGTAACTCACTGAGAAGTCAGTGTAACTGAGGTTGACTCTCATTTTATTTTATTTTATTTCTTTTTATGTCTGTGACATTTCTCTTAAAGGACTTTTCTTCTTATGACTCCACAGTGTGCTTCAGTAAATGAACAAAAATACTACTGTGTATGCCTGTACTGCCTCACCCTTCTTGTAGAAATGCCTGGAAATGGCAACAGCATAACAACAGTCTTCAGGGCTTCAAAATATTGGTTCTAACCTCAGGGCGAAGGTTCGACTCTGTGAATCAGGGGTCAGGAGCTAAAGGTAATGCTTTAGGTTATAAAGCTAATACTTTAGCTCTTGTGCCTAACTGAAGAGGAAAACCAAGAAAGTACAGCAGAGGGAGATGAGGAAGAAGAGAAAATGAATCGGGTTGGGGGGGGGCTGAACAGTAAGAGAGGAGAATCACTATTGGACGACACAGACTTGACAAAAACACAGCAAATCTGGGAGGAGAACAAATCGGGAGGCTGAGTGACGGTGTCGCCGCCGGGCTGATGAATCGACGAGATGACTGCATGATCAATGAGATGCGCTCAATCAGCAGAGTGATCCACAGGACGACCTTAGTGTGTACCACCGAGGGCCGAGACGCGTGCGTATGTGTTTCTATTTATACTGCGATGTACACCGATATAGCATGATGTTACATAACCATACATCAATTAAACCTCCCCCGAGGAAGCAAACATGCGGTTCTGGAACATTAAAGTCTACGAACTCCTTCACAACAGCATGAACATGCTCACAGCTTCTAGATTTTACAGTTGGAGAAACATCACTACACATTGACATTCCTACAATGTCAGATTTCACATTATTTCATCACAATGGATAATTTGTGTCCCTTTTTTTTTAATACTACGTCATGGTCATATGTTAATGCAGCTGAAGGCAGGGTCTGTATCAAAAGTCTGACAATAAAGAGTCCTCTTTAGTGTTTCTGAGGGATGAACAGTGCTTACACTGTACGCAGGCTTAAGAAGTTACCACAGATGTGCCCATCAACAGATTGGAAAATGGTTTAAATATTACTGATGCCAGAAAAGGTGGAGAATAATGTAGGTTTGGGAGTGTAGGTAAGATACAGTACATGCTATTTGTGAGCATTAGGTTAAAACATCAGCAGTCGGCCGGCTGCCACCTTCAAAGGCTTCTTCTCCAACATAAAGACGAGACAAACAAAGCTTTGCAGTGGGAAGAAAAAAAGATCACATGTCACAACTTGAGACAAAACTCACAAGCCTGAAACAACTGGCCCTTTATCCCCTGATATACACATTCATATGTGGTGCTGGAACATCACCGCCTGGCTGCAAATATGATTAGATGACAAGAGAACCATAACAAATAGCAGGAATTGCAGTTGTTCCCGATTCTAATTGACAGTAAGATTGTGTGTCTGGGATCAAGTCTCCCAACATCTACACGCGTGTTTGTTTGTTTTCAAAAACATCACCAACGACTACAGGTTAGACCAACAGTGTTCTGCTCAGCAGCTGCAGCGGCCGCATTGTTTTGAACATCACATTACATGAGAACTCTTGAAGGTGGAACATCACCACAAGACATTGCAGATGGGTCCAATCAGACGCAGTTCTTGTCCATGTGAGCATGCAGCAAACCAGGAGGAGCAACCATATCAAATGTTCCACTTCATACATCAGATAGGAGCAGGTTTGAACACACGCTAAAAACGTAGTGATGTAAAAAGATGATTTTATTTTTTGGAAATATAGAGCAGTCTGGTCTTGAAAGATGTTTTAGGTTGAGCGTGAACATATACTTAAATAGCAACAAACAATCATTTTGTTCATTTTGTTTGTGTTCCAATAGATTCTGATTGACTACAAACAGCCATGTTCTGTACATACTGTTTATTAAGTCAGGTCATGCTTTACCACTTATTTGTCTTTGAAAAGGATCCTAATTGACGTAGTCTACATTCAGCTCCATTTATAAAAATGGAAAAGGAGAATACTGATATGCTGAATGAGAACAGCAGTAGATTTATTTTCACTTGTGATTTAGTTCATTGTAAATGTTGTCTCAGACCAGCTTCAATACAACGGGACACCAGATAACTACATGTACTTCTTTCTAAAAAGGTTTCGGCTGAATGTTTAATAAAATATGACTGTAGCTCACTCACCACTATCAACCAATTTCACTCTGCACCGCTGTTGTTGCAACATCAGGTGTAGTCTGAATAACTGTCTAATTGTTTGTGTGTTTAGTTGAATACCACAACTATCACGTGACCTTCAGAACCAGATTATGACCAACACATACCCAGTCTTCATAGTGTCTGGTTCCATTCTGCAGCAGGTCTTCTAGCTGGATGGTGCAGTTGGCCACAAAGTCATCATATCCAATGGGCGCATCATGGAAAACTGACAGCTCGAGACTTCTGCCCTCGCGGACCTCAGTGCAGAACTCCTGGTGCCACGCAGGGCTGTTGGTCTTGGTCCTGGTAGCGGTCTGGCCCAGTCGGGTCTGGTCTAGGTTCAAGGCCAGGTAGGGGTCCAGCAGGAAGGATCCGCTCTTTCCCACTGCGTGACGCAGGGCCCATGGGGTGGGTTTCAGGTCCACTGCTTCACACACTCGCACCTTCAACATGCCACTGAACACAGGCATTACTGCAGGGATGTGTGTGTGTGTGTGTGTGTACAAAGGAACACACTGAGTGCGTGTGCGTGTTGAGGCTGTTCCTGCTCCTGTACACAGACTGTTTCCTCTCAATAAGCGGGGTCACTGCACAGTCCTGCTACATCCCATAATGCCGCTGGCTCCTTAGACTCTCAGTCTGGTACAACCATAGCAGAACATACATACACACACACACACACACACACACACACCCAGCCGATGGATCACCAATGTGCCTCAGTCCGCAGTAATAACCCAGACTCTGAGGACTCAGCGCTGCCTCGTTTGTTTATGGTCAGTCCAGTCCAGACGAGATTCAAGTAAATAAGGAAACAGGCCGGTGATCTACCGGGCTGTGCGGGAGGAGGATCACGGAGACGGGCTCCGGCTGTGTCCTCTGGAAGCCTCTCAGCCTGCGCACGGTCCCTGTGCGTGCGTGTGTGTGTGTGTGTGTGTGTGTGTGTGTGTGTGTGTGTGTCTATCTCCCAGGTCAGGGTGGGAGAGAGCAGCCGCGCCTAGCCATCCGGGATTGGTGCTCGGTGTCCAGCCCGTCTGGGCTCCTTCAGCGCTGTGATCAGCTCCCGGACTGAAGCTGTCGTTGCTGCGGTGTCTGCGTCTTCTCTGGGAAAGCGAAAAAACATGCAGCGGCGCCAGATGCAGCGTTTTTTGGAGCTCACCGCCTCCCTGAATACATCACAGTCATCCACTCCCGTTGGATTTTTTCCGCTTTCTATCCTTACGCGCACCCCCCCTCGTTTCCCGTCCCCTCTATGCTCAATCCGACTGAGGGAGAGAGCTGCAGGAAATGCGCAAAACGCGTCACCGGCGCGGCCCGGCTGTGCGCCGGATGAGGGGAGAGAGAGGAAGAGGGATAGAAAGAGAGAGAAGAGAGAGAGAGAGAAAAATGTGCGTTTGTGCGTCTCCTTTTTACAATCACTGTCAGGTATAAACAAAAGTCTGCCTTTTTACCCATTGTCTTTGAAGAACCACCACCTGGTCCTCATGTGATAGAAATGCAATTATTACCTCAGGCACTGATACAGTACAACATGAGATGCATAAATGAAAAGCTGAAATGCAGTGTTGCATAACATTTAAATCGTGATAAGTCACAGGAAGTGTATGGTGGGTTTTTTTCTGTTCTGCTACCATCGAACTGTATTTTTTCTTGCAAATAATAACTCTTCCAACAGTTCGTGATTTAAATGTGCGTCAGTGACAAATGCCGTCAGTAGGCGGCGGTAATGCCATGCCAAGAGACATCGCACTATCGTTAATGCCCAAGCAGAAAGAAATTAAATTAAGTACACCCCCCCCCCCCCCCCCCCCCCCCCCCCCCCCCCCCATTCACGTTCACTTACCACATCTAAGTTACC